CCTTGGTTACATCTAGATTGGATTACTGCAATGTACTTGACATAGGGCTGCCTTTGAAGATGACCTGGAAAATGCAACTTGTGCAAAGGTCGGCAGCCAGGTTGTTAACTGGAGCTAGTTACAGGGAGTGGACGACGGCTCTACTGAAGCAGCTCCACTGGCTGCCAATAAGTTTCCGGTCCCAATTCAAAGCGCAGGTTATTACCTACAAAGTCCTAAATGGTCCGGGTCCTGCTTATCTTCCTGATCATATCTCCCTCTATGAACAATCGGATGGAAAGGCCCTTCTCTCGTTCCTACCTCCATCACAAGCATGGTTGGTGGGGATGAGAGAGAGGTCCTTCTTGGTGGTGGCCCCCCAGCTCTGGAACTCTCTCCCCAGCGAGATTAGATTAGCCACCACCCTGTCCACCTTCTGGAAAGATCTGAAGACTTGGATATGCCAATGTGCCTTTGAATAATGATTTAGTTACTGGTCATGTCTGTCATGGGGGTGGTGACGGCCGACAGGGAGCTCTGGCATGGACTGGTCCATGAGGTCACGAAGAGTCGGAGACGACTGAACGAATGAACAACAACATGTCTGTCTAGCCCTAATCTTTTGGTTGGATTTCCAGCACTTTATTTCCAGCCGCGGCCCTACAGTTTGCATTTGCACAAGTCCTTGTCCTGCCCTATTAGTCTCAAATCTGCACATGCCCACTTTTCTCAGCTACTGGTTATTTGTTGCTTGGTTCATGTTTCATGATGTCTTACATTTTATTGGTTTTATTGTTTTAATATAGTTAACTATTATATGTTTTTAATTGTGTTACTTTATAACCTTTGTTTATATTGGGCTTGGCCCCCATGTAAGCCGCCTGAGTCCCTTCGGGGAGATGGAGGCGGGATATAAGAATAAAGTTATTATTCTTCTTATTATTATTCTGACACAAAACCACACTATGACACAGGAAATGAGATATATATGCTGGATTTCGTATCACAAGTCAAACACTTCCCAAGCGTTTACGATTGTGTGATGTATTTAATAATAATAATAATAATAATAATAATAATAATAATAATAATACAAGGAATTATTACCGCTTTGTGAACTTGGTATATTAGAGTGATGCCAGCATTCTCTTTCCTTTCCTTAAAACAGTATCCCTTCCATTGCAGCTCCTTTTTTTCCAATATCGTTTTGATGTGACCACAAAACCAATGGTCAAATTTAAAACCACAGGTGTTCAACAAATGTGCCTATACTGAAAGTCCAAAGCGTAACAATACAGCGCTCCCTGCTTCAAGATGGCATTCTCAATAACTTCTTTAAAGAACCATTTTAAATGAAGAGAGATAAAGCATAATAAAATAATTCTTCCAAAGCAAGACTAGTATAGCCAACAGAATAAATAGCTGCTCTATCCCACCTGTTTCAGACAGTGTGGAGAAAAGTTATTTTTAAAACATGTTCTTGCCATGGAAAACTCAAGAGAAGTTGAAGAATTCTAGTCTGCTGAGAGAGGGAAAATATATAAATCTTGGCCTCTGGGGTGCTCAACCCACCTCTGGCGAATGCTTTACAAACTGAGTAGTGTTATCAGGATGTATTATGAGCTATTACACTATGATACCTACCGGCCTTGTTAAGGAAAGTCATTCCACGCGAAACAGAACACACCATTGTCTGTCTAAGCTGATGTTTATGCTCACTGTATTTTAATTAAAGGGTGTATTTTACTGACAACTGTAAGGAGGTGTTCTGCAGGAAACTGGCCCTGGACGGGAGAACTACTTCCTTAAAACCAGCAGCTACACAAACCTCAAATGACTGTACCTCACAGCAGGCCTTCTGCTGTTCAGCATGGAGCTATGTTTTAATTTCCTTAAACCACAGGACACAAGTCTGAATTCAGATTGTTTCTGTGCTTGTGTATTCACCACAGACGGAGATACAGATTTTTATAGTTCGTCATTTCCAAGTGATTTACATACAACATTTCATATTCTTTAGGCTAATGTTGCCTCTTTTCTCCATTCCAAGACTTCTACTAACTTGGGTTTATTGGTTACTGGTTTATCCATTCTACATTTTTCGACTGTTCATTATAATGGAACAGTTTTCCCCATTTAAATGGGCAAAGAGAAACAACTCCTTGACTGACTCTGGGCACCAGAACATTTTTTTTCCTGGACAGGTTCTTCAGTAAACTGAGTATCTTCTTCTTTAAATGAAGACTAGTGTGCTTTCATATCAAAATAGTGTAAAAAGAACAACATTTTTTAAAGACAGGAAAAATAAAAAAGTACCTGTTAAGTAAAACTCTGTGTGAATCCATTCTCAGTATATATATGAATTGATAAGGCTGAAGTGATTTGAGTTATCAAATGACTCTAAGTATTTTGAGTGCAACTTCCATTTCCACTTCACTTTCCAAAATTGTGTATTCATTTTCAGATTATTTATTTATTTATCATATCAGAAGCGAAACAAGCGAAAAACACAAAGTTTAAAAGCTTGGCATTATGCTAAATGTCCTTTGACCAGTAGCTGGCCACTTGGAATCCCTCTAGTGCTGCTATAAGAAGGTCCACCACTGTGCAAGTGGCAGGGCTCTGACTGCATTGTAATAGGTGGTCTGTGGTTTGCTCTTCTCCATACTCAAGTGTTGTGGACTCCACATTGAAATGTCATTTCCTAACTGGATCTATCATAAAAACATAGAACATTTTGCTATCGTTTTGCAATTAGTGTCTCAACGAATTCAACATAATTTGTGGCAGCCACAAAAACAAAAGTTTCTGGGGTATAATAACTATTTTCAAAGTAAGCACAGTACAAATAAACAGAAAATAACGTTTTCAAACCAGGAACAGAAATTTTTCAGATTTTATTACATAGTGTAATCTGTCATGGATTCATATCTTTTATATAGCTCTTCTGTGTACTGTCTTCGTGGTCTTATTACTTCTTCTTGATAATGCAGTGTGTTCCTCTGCTGGTTAGATAGCATTCCCACTCTTGGTTTCTTGGATTTTATGGAAGATGTATCTTCCTTTCTTCCTTTTAGGCTGCCATCTTCTATTTCACTGCATTTCACTGCATTGATAATTTTAGTAGTTCTTTTTGTCACTGAACCATTTTATTCGGGGTTCTGAGGATGTTCCCTTTGCGTGTCTTTTTGCATCAGTGTTCCTGGCTTCAATCCAGAATTCTTCTAGCTCCTGGTCAATTAGGCTTAAGAGTACAAATCTAATTTTTCACATAATCTTTAAATTTTATGGGGATGTTCTTCAGGCTGTGTTTTGCACAATCATTATTAATGCCATCCTATGTCTTCTTAGATTTTCATTTCCTGAGTAAAACACTGTAATTATCTTATTTAGTTTAGCTAGCTGATCCCAAGTAATGCAATGTCCATATGTTCCATTTATTGTTTTACTATGTCGTCTACTTTCTTTGATTCATGTTCTCACATTCCATTTTCCTACAATATGTGTTGGCAAGCTTCAAACTTTCCTTTCAACTCTGAGCATGTTGACAACTCAATGTCCCTTTGGCTTCAGTCCAGTTTTATCTAACCACAGTGGGACTTGTAGTTGCCCTCTGTTATTGTCCAATAGCTCACTGAGTACCTTTTGACCTGCAAATGTCCTCTTCGGACACTTTCTCTTCTTTCACTTTGGATTGTCTCATCATAGACAATTAATGATAAAATACATTCAAAATGGGCCTCCTTTTTGGGCTATCTGGCATATTTAGTCTGGCTCCTCAGCAAAAGGCGAACTTACATGGGAGAATCTAAGGCAGGCATGGGCAAACCCAGGCCCGAAGGCTGGATATGGCCCCTTGGGCTCTTGTCTCAGGCCCGAGAGCCAGATATGGCCCGTTGGGCACTTTTCTCAGGCCTTCCTCTCTCTTTCCTTCCATCATTCCCTCCCTTCCTTCCTTACCTCCCTCTTTCTCCTTCTCTCTTTCCTTCCCTTCCATTCTTTCATTCTCCCTTCCCTCCTTCCATTGTCTTCCACCCTTCCTTCTCTTCCTCCCACCCTCCCTCCCTTACCCCCTTTCTTCCTTCTCTTTTTCCTTCCTCCTTTCCTCCTGGAAGAAGAAAGGGTAGAGAGGGAACATCAGAACCATGCTACAAGAGTTTAAAGAGTGTGCCATGGGGGGGGGGGGGGGCAACGACTTTCTGCTGCTCTAGAGACCAAGACCCAAGGGAGCAATGGGTTCAAATGGCAGAGAAAGATATTTGACTGAAAAGATTAGGAAGAACTTCCTGGAGAATGGCATAGGCTGCCTTGGGGTTGGGTGGAATCTCCTTCTCTGGAGGCTTTTCCACAGATGCTGTCTATTGGGAGTGCTTTGATTGTACCTTCTTGCATGGCAGGGGATTGGACTGGATGGCCCTTGGAGGTCTCTTTCAGATCTAGGATTCTAGGATTATATATCAGGAGTAGGCAATATGTGGTCTAATGGATACACTTTTTCTCTCCCGTCCACCATCTCATCCTGACCAAAGCTAACCCTTTTGGGATCCAAACATTTCTCATCTTTCCTTCACGTTTTCCCTCCAAAAGAGAAGAGGAAGAAAAGGGCAGGGAGGGGACCCAGAGAGGACCCCTTCCTTCCCTGCCCGCCCACCCTGCTCCAGCGCACCATGCGGCCCCCAAGTTAGAAAGTCTGCCCATACCTGGTCTAAGGGCAACACTGCTATCCTCTTGAATACAGAAGCATGCAATCTCACCACCCTGGAAAGACAGCACTATGGTACCTTACATAAACATATTTTGTACTGCAAACTAGAACAGAAACTTTTGTATGGTCATCACTTCATCAGCATAACACTATTTCAGCACTAGTCTCTGGTTAACACATTAAACTCTCTGTGTGGAGGATGATTTGGAAACATTATTTGTTGTGGATTGTGATATCACAGAATGCTCATTAAAAAAAACTAAAGGTCATCCAGATAGTGAGAAACATCTTCAGAAAGTGGAAGTTATGTATTTACCTGCTGTTGGATTTTGATTGAAACGACAATATTTTGAATGTTCTAGAAAAGGCAGGCACTGCTCAGTCGGTACCCAAACATATGTCTCGGGACACAACAAATCAGAAGGTCTATACTGCCCCTAAAAAGTGGGAAAGAAAAAAATACCATATCAATGTAAAAAAAAAAAAGCGCTAAATGATACACTTTGTATATTTGCAGTTGTAAGAGAAAATCCAAAGCAAATTAAGCCATAGTACAGTCTTTCCAACATTTAAGAATGCCTTTTAAATTGAGATCCATCCCTTTTTGTTTATAAGATTAGCGTTATATTTCCATCATTAATTCCCTTGATCACTGAAATTTTGCTAAATATTTGCTTTTGATATAGTTAAACGACTGGCATATGAACTGAACACTGAACAGCAATTTTTCCAACACATTTAAAACATATATTGAACAACATAGCTCTAAAAATTGCAAAAGTTTTTTGAGGTACAACTTTCAAACAGAACAGTCTGCTTTACTTTTAAGTATAATGCAATCAGATCAGAAAACCAATCTATCATTTCACTTCTCCCGGCGAAATTTTATAGATGTGGTTTTCTAGCAGTACAGAAACCAAAGTTATTTTAGAAAGACAAAGTTGAAAGACACCATCCCACTGTGAAAATAGTTACAAAGCATATATACTGTATTACCACAAAGGTGCAGCTCAACTGCATGACGGCATTTATATAATTATTTGCAGATTCGATGAAATAAAACTTGTGAATACTGTTCAAAACCAGAACTTATTTTTTTGAACTACATTATTGTTTTATGTCATAATTTCACTATACATCTGACTTTTTTCAGCCTGTAAAAGATATTCTGGATAGGAATTCATCAGCAATTTTGAACTACCATTAGCTCAGGAGTCAATAGAAGAAAATATTTTAAATTATATATAAAAAACGACAGAAAGAAGCTGAAAATCCACTTTTAAAACTAATGTATGTATATGTGGTAGATTTCGAGTCAGATGTAATTAGAATAGTTGTATGCATATTGTGTTGTTTCTATATTTCTATATTTATGTACAAATGCATATTATGGCTTTTCTTTTTGTGTTAAAGAATGCTGGAAAAAGTAGTCAAAATCTAGAAAAGGCTATATGTGGACACATTTTTGTGTGATGATGAATTATTTAGGCTATTTGAATGGCTGATTATTGGGCAGGGGGAGACAAAACATATCTACCTCTATGAACCAACTAAGAGTGCTAAGCTCTGCTGGGGAGGTCCCGCTCTCAATCCCATCTCCTTCGTAAGCATGACTGGTGGCCCCTCAGTTATGGAACTCTCTCCCCAGTGACATCAGATTGGCCCTCTCCCTCCCGATGTTTAAGAAAAAGCTAAAGACCTGGTTCTGGAATCAGGCATTCTGGGAGTAACTGCAATATGGAATATGCAAGATGGAACTCAACTTAAATGCAGCACCACGAATAATGGCTTGGGACTGGGCACTATGTTTTAATCTGTATTTATATGTTTTTATTGCTTTTATTGTATTTTGTATTTGTATGTTGTATTTGTATATTTGCATTCTTAATGTGGCATTAAATTTTGCCTTATCTGAGTTCCCCTCAGGATGAGACATTTTGCCTTATCTGTAAGCTGCTCTGAGTCCCCCTCGGGATGAGAAATTTTGCCTTATCTGTAAGCCGCTCTGAGACCCCCTTGGGATAAGAAGAGCGGGGTAGAAATATAGTAAACAAATAAACAAATATCTAACAATGGCAAATAGATGTGTATTATTTGCATATGCAACACTGTAATTCAATCTCTTCTGTAGATTCTTGGCTGATACCGAAATTCTCTTGATTGATAGAGTAAATGTAAATACAAATAACAAATAATTTGTAAGTGTTACAAGTTTCCAAATTGTTTTGTTTTGTATTGCACATTATACACACACACACACACATACATATACACATACATACACACACACAAACAAACTTTGTTTACTTCCTAAAAGTGTTCAATTAATATTTTATATGCTGAATTAGAGCCTTTCATGCACAGGTGTAAATTGATAGCAAGCAGCAAACTATCACTCTATCAGTATATAGCCAAAGCAACTAATGTCATAATCTGAATCTTTTTATATGAACATACACTGCTTCTCTTTACAATTCATTATTTCACCATGCAGAATATTCATTGATAAATTATGCCATCAATCCTATTTTTTTTCCAAATCTCATTTTTATGTTCTGCATGCAGTAAAAGAATGTATATGCAGTGACATCCAAATTCGGACAAATGTCAGCTGATGTGATCAAGGATTTCACAGAAACCAATCAGCGTCATTAAAAGCGAAGTTACTAATTAAACATTTGTCTTTGTATGGAAGTCACAATTAGCTATGATCCTCAAAAAAGAAGAACTCTTCTGCAGTAATAAACAGCTGAATGAGAGAGAATATAAAATGTAATGAGAGTAATTCACCTGCACATTTATCTATCATAGCATGGGATATCCATCTCTGGGTGCATCTACACCATAAAATTAATGCAATTTAAAACAACTTTAACTATATATGTAGTTTTGAAAGATCTTTAACCTTCTCTGCCAAAGAATACATTCTGGGAATCCATAGCATTGTCAGTTAAAGTGCTGTTGATTTGCATTAATTCTACCGTGTAGATAGATGCACCTTATGGAAACGAGCCTTTCACAGTTTTGGCCAATGTAAGTTGTTTTTCCCCCCTCTCTCCCTTGTTGCCTTACTATCTTGCTTCCCTTTCCCTGCCAGCTTTTCATCACCAGCTCCCTCTTTTACAAGGTACACTGCATGAAAAATCCTTACATATGATATTCATTTCAGCCAATATAGAGCATAGCAGAATTTTTAATTGGAAACTGCTGGAGGCACGTTCGACAGTTCTGCTTTAAGGTTCTTTAATTGAAGTATTCTCACTCGGCTTTGCTTTGTGTTCATGCTTCTGAGCTAAAACCAATCAAAAAAATATCTCCGGACTCCTGTTAGAAAGCAAGGCCAAAGGTTTTAATGAAACTTAAGTCTGAAGATTTACTTTTTAAATATTTTAGAAAATCTAAGGGATTTGGTGAGCATTTGAGATGAAGGCGCGTCAGCAGAGTTTGTTTTCACAGACTAAGCAAAATATGAAAAGTAAAAGCTCCAAGGAAAGATAATAGTTACAAAAAAACAAAGAAGGTCAAGTACCAGTAGCACAGAACAAACAGAGAAGGTTAAATACACATTTAATTCTTTTATCAGGTAAAGAGTACATCTGTGTTCTATTTTTCCACAATAAACCCATTGATCTTTTATTAAAAGCGAATTAAGGCAGGCTTCATCTCAGTTTCCAGCCAGCTGCTGAAAAGAGGAGCCTTCACATTACATAAACAAAATGGCCCCAAATTATCCCCAGCAATGCATTAACGCAAAGGCAATCCTACCATGAGAAAACGTGAGCTGGTCTAAAGGTTTATTAAATTTAGCCTTTGCCTTGAAAGAGAACACCAGTGGAAACCTTTCAGCAAAACATTACAACAGACCCTTGCCATTTCATTTCATTTCATTACATAAATAACAACAGGCATTATCTGTCCCCAAGAATGTTTTGGAAGTATGTGAGCTACTTTCCTCTCTCCTACCCCAAACTATGTGTAGGATACAAGCTCGTAACTAGGGTGTGGTTATGGGTTCACTCCCCATTTTTCCTGCCTCCGCTAGTATGTTTTCCCTTGATCACTTGTTCTCCTCCACCCACTAGCTCACCCCCCTCCTGGCTCATTTCTCGTTTTAACCCACCCCCCTGATTTTTTTTTTTTTGGGTAGGATATACTACACAGAACAGGAGAGACTTGACCAAGAACCATGCATACCTCATCACCCTTCATCCATACATCAAGTGAAAGGAATCTCTAGATGGAGCTGTGCTACTCCGTTCCAAAATAGTCCAGAATTGGACAGGATCAGATTCCAGTATGTGGCAAAAACCTCTAGCTCAGTGAGGTCCAACCTTTGGTACTTCAGGAATTATGGACTTCAGCTCTCAGAAGTCCTGATCATTGGACAAGCTGGTTAGGGCTTCTGGAAGCTGGGAGTCCCAAATGCCTAGAGACCAAAGGTTAGACACCACTGAAGATGTCAGATCTTCATGCACTGCTCAAAGAGAGCAGTCCAGTGCAAACATGGAAGCATGTCACCTAGTTACTATGTATGTGTGTAAAGGGACTAAAAAGCTAAGTGTTCTTTATCATAACACATAAAAAACCAAGTTATGGTGGGCATTTCTAATTTTGATTTCAAAAGGTTCCTAAACTAGTTATCTATCTATCTATCTATCTATCTATCTATCTATCTATCTATCTATCTATCTATCTATCTATCTGCAATGGGATCTTGTTGCACCTTAGAGACTTGGGAGAAAGAAGTTCATAGCATAAGATTTCGTAGCAGTGAATCAACCCTGTATTATTAATGCATTCTATTACCAATTTAACTTCCATGGCTCAATGATATGGAATCATGAGAGTTGTAGATTCACAAGGTTTTCAGCCTTCTTGACCAAAGCATACTGGTGCCTCACCAAACTACAAAACCCAGGATAGCACTGAGTCATGGCATCAAACTGCATTAATTCTAAAGTGCAGATGCATCCTCAGCTTATGTAAGCTTATGCTACCAACTTCGTTCTCTCTACTACAAGGTCCCAATCAGTAATGATAATCCAGACTATCATGGCACTATCTACCTATCTAGCAGTCTATATGTCTAGGAACTGATTATTCAGCTCCTCAAAATGCTTCACAAGATTGTTAATTTATTTTAATTTTTTTGCTACAAATAACAATCACAAAGGTCCAACCAATCTTTTATGCTCCTTATGATGTGATGTCCCTAACATTCAGAAAAGAAAAATGGGTTCCCTTGGAACTAAAGAGACCAATATCCACTAATTGCAGTAATGCAAATGTATATAGACAAACTCAATGTATACATACACATACAAATATCAATAAAACATAGGACTGTTATATTCACATTTAACAGAAATATTTTGTTATTTTCTTGAAAGATGAAAAAAAAATCTTCTTCACCTATGTGGAAATAGTCCTTGTGTCT